GATGAGCCTCCTTAGGAGAATGCATATGTTGACTTACCATGCTAATTGCGAAAGCAATATCCGATCTAGTGTGCGAGAGATAGATTAGCTTACCAACTAATCTTTGATATCTGTCCTTATCCACTGTGATCCCTGCATCCTTTATTTTTCCTGCCTCGATAGGTGCATCACTAGGTTTGAATCCCAACATGCCTGTTTCAGTTAAAAGATCAAGAATGTATTTTCGCTGAGAGACACTAATACCCTTCTTTGACCTTGCAATCTCCATTCCCCAAAAAATATCGCATTTGTCCCAAATTTTTTACTTCAAATTCGGTAGCTAAGCACTTCTTTAGACTTTCCATCTCCACCATGTTATCTCCTGTCACAATTATGTCATCAACATATACAATTAGGATCGTTTTCATACCATTTCTGGATTGTTTGAAAAACATGGTATGATGAGATTGCCCTTGCTGATATCCTTGTTTTTTCAATACATTTGCAAATCTTTCGAACCATGCTCTCGGTGATTGCTTGAGCCCATATAGACTTCCTTAGTTTACACACTTGGTTCTCTTCATGTACTGTTCTGAAGTTTGGTGATATTGTCATGTAGACTTCTTCTTCCAATTCACCATTCAGAAATGCGTTCTTAATGTCTAGTTGCTGAAGCGGTCCGTCCAAATTTACTACTAAAGTTTCAGTATAGTCGATCCCATAGGTCTTGTGTATACCCTTTGGCAACAAGTCGAGCTTTGTAGCGATCTATTGTCCCATCAGCTTTATACTTCACATTGAACACCCATTTGCATCCTACTGGTGTCTTCCCGTTCGGTAGATTTACCACCTCCCAAGTTCCATTTTTCTTCAAGGCTGTCATTTCATCCATTACTGCTTCTTTCCATTTTGGTGATTCCAAGGCCTCCTGAATACTTCTTGGAATTTCTGTCTTGTCAAGATTAGTCGTGAAAACACGAAATTCGGTGGATAGATTATTGTAAGACACAAAATTGGAAATAGGATGAAGAGTACATGATCGAGGTTGTTTTCTGAGAGCAATGGGTAAATCATCATTATCTGTAGATGTGATTTGGTTGAAGGCATTCTCATCAGGCCCTTTCACTAGTTCTGACTCTCTTGGTGCCTCAAGTGTGGGAGTATCCTTATACTTTGATTTAGGCTTCCTTGAGTAAACTAGGATTTCCTCTTTGCTCTGTTTTCCAACATCTCCCCCTGCCTTCAAGTTTCCTTCTGTATGTGGCAAAATAGAAGGTAGGGTGATGGTTTCAGGTGGAGAAAGGTCGAAATTTAGGGATTCTAGATTCAAAAACCGATCTTTTCTCAGACTCTCCCTCTGAAGAGAAGGTTTTTGGAAGTAATGTGTGCTTTTAAAAAAGGTGACATAGGCTCATAAAGGTTTTTTTAATAGATGGATCATAGCATTTACACCTTTTCTGAGTTGATGAGTACCCAATGAACACACACTTGATTGCTCGTGGTTCAAGTTTGTTTCGATGCTGGAAGTGGATGTGTACAAAGGCAGTACATCCTAATACTTTTAGGGGTAGATCTGTTTTTAGACGGGAAGTTGGAAAGTGCTTTCGGAATCTTTGTATGGGTGACTCTGACATGACTAGGCATACGATTGATGAGGTATGTAGATGTTAAAATTGCATCCCCCAAAATGTTTTTGAAATTTTTGCAGTAAACATTAGGGCACGGGCGACTTCAAGTACAAGTCTTTTCTTGCTCGGCAATCCCATTTTGTTGGGGAGTATGAACACAAGAACTTTGATGAACGATTCCATGTTTTGTTAGGTAGTCTTGTAGAGTGGTATTGAAATATTCAGATCCATTATCCGTACGTAAGATTTGAAGTTGTGTTTGGAATTGAGTTTGGATCATAGAATGAAAATTTTCAAACACTGAGCGGACATCTGCTTTCTCTTTTAGAAGATATACCCAACAAACCCGGGTGTGATCGTCGATAAATGTGACGAACCATTTTGTTTGGGTACGATTAGGAATGCGAGAAGGTCCCCATAAGTCGCTGTGTATCATGACAAATGGTGTAGATGGTTTATATGTGAAACTTGGAAAGGATGTATGTTGATGTTTGGCAAGTTTGCAACTTTCAAATTAAAGTTCAAATGAAGTATTATTTGTGAAAATAGATGGAAATACATGTTTTAGGTAAGGAAGACTAGGGTGACCCATTCTATAGTGCCACAACATAAGTTCACTATCCTTAGAGACTAATGCAAACTTACAGCTAGTACGTGGATCCAGTTTACTCACATCAGCTTCCTCGAAGTAGTACAGCCCCCCACACTCCTTAGCACTTCCAATCGTCTTCCCTGATGAAAGGTCCTGAAAGATACAATAAGATGAATAGAATTTAGCAGTGCAATTGGATGTTTTCGTTAATTAACTAATAGAGAGTAAGTTGCATGACAGATTAGGAACATGGAGGACTGAATCTAGTGTTATGAATTCAGAGATTCGAATACTCCATTTTCCTGCAACAGAAGAGAGCGAACCATCTGCAATTTTCACCCTAACATCCCCAACACAAGTTGAGTAAGCGAAGAATAGTTGGTACGAATCCGTCATGTGATCGGACGCACCCGAGTCGATAATCCAAGGGATTTTACATTTTGAGGTATTTAAGGCTTTCAAAAAGCTACCTTTATGTGCAAGGGAACTAGGAGGACTTTTGAGAGGGGTCGGACTAGAGAGCATTTGATAAAGTTGCTCCAATTGTTTGGAATTAAACGCACTGCTTGGAGTTGAGTTTACTGTCTCAGCCTGATATTCACATTGCTTATTTTTATCTGGCCCATTTGCAGTCCCTTTTAAAGGTAGGCCCATTATCTTTTTTTCACTTGATTTTTGGGAGCCCAATATTAGGCCCATTTCTAAGTTACCCATTTCTGGCCCATTAACCTTCGGCCCAACATTTGTTGAAAGAAATTTTGGCCCATTATCCATCACTCTCAAGGCCGACACTTCACGAAGGTTTTCGAAGCTCCTCTTCTTCATCACTGACGCCAAAGCCGAAACTTCACGGGCCATCTTGGCCTTCTGACCGTTGCCTTCACCCAATTTTGCCTCTCGCTTTGTTGTCTGATGATTGGAGATTCTATTACTTTCAGAAAACCTAACTGTGCGCTGAGGCAGGCTCCGAATAACAGTGGCGTGTGGATCACTTCGATTGCCACGACACTGCCTATGGCCACCGCGACCTCCATGACTGAAATCACCACAGTCACCTGCGCCTCTCTCTGCCATGCCTTCAACTACCTGGGTTCTAATCGATGGAATGAACTTTATTTCGAAATCGGATGGTTCAAAGGTCATGGACTCTCTGCTATTGGCGACATCCGCCATTGATTGACCAGGTTAGAAATAACCTTGCTCTGATACCATGTAGACAATTGGACTGAAATTTCTGTATATTTAACATTAGTTCAACTACATCTTTATAGTACACGAAATAGCTAAAAAAGGAAGATCTTCTAACTAAGGAAACCACAATTAATCCTAACAATTACAATCATTATTAATGTTAATTCCTATACTTCGTCCACACACACACACACACACACACGATTTTCTACGAAAAATTAGGTCCTCCCCAAAAATCAAAACACTCCATATCAGGTTACCTAAAATTCCTCACTGGCGCTCGCAGTTGGTCACAATCACTAGCGAGCCGCCGACTGGGAGCCCTCGTCCGAGGTCATCATCATATGTCGTCCATCTTGTCCATTGTTTTATCACTCATATCCATAGTGGAATAGGCTCACGAAAATCTAGGTTCGCGCACATCGCGGCTCGTTCATGGAGTTCTTGGCATTGGTTGTCAACAACAGGGCAGCTTCGTTCTACAAGGCCTAGGTCGCGTGGCTGTAGTCTAAGTTGCGGCTCCATACCCACTACAACCTTAGGGTTTCTTACGTCGAGGCCAATTTCCCTTTGTAGAGTTGGGTCATTGTCCTCCTACCAGTCATGCCGATCTAGTTTTTTCTTTTTAGGCTCACGTATGCTCTCAACAGTAAATGCAATAGCATCTGCGTGAAGTTGCGACGAGTTTCATCGATCCTTTTGATTCGTTATTCGATTTTTTCAAACTTCTATTCATCGTCGAAGGTTATACTGCCACCAAAACCATTGTTAGCCATCAAATTGGGGTAAACTTTCTTGTGCTGATACCAATTTGGTGCAGAAGCAGTTGTGAAATTTTTGTAATAAGAATTATGTAATAAACTAAGATCGATATGGGAATAATTTGCTTTGTACTGAGTTGAATAATATTTGGTGATAAAAAAAAAAGTGACCTCTGTATTTATAGACAAAATTATTCCCTAATTGTACTAATACTAGGAGATTAAATTATAGATCTAATCAAAGAATAGATAAAACCTATTACAACTATAAAAGAAAACTAGAAAAGATAAAACACGATTGAAGTAGGAAACTAATCATGATCATGTGCTAGGAAACTAATGTGCTACATCATATATGTATATCATTTTAAGTATTGTCGTCGATAACTTATATGAAACAAACTTCTGCATGGTCAAACAAGACAAAGAACACTTGACTTACATGGTAAAATGAAGTGAGAAAAATGAGGATATTCTTTTCATGAGCCAAGTTTGTCTTTATTTTTTTAAATTTTTGGTGAAAAACAAATATTATAAGAATGCAGTTACATTCTCAGGTACACAACTACAGCTAGATCAGAGGGTTCTATCCTTCAGACCCATCTTAAAAGTGTAGACAAGGAAAAAATGGAAACCTGATATTCCCATCATCCTTCCATTGCATAGAAAGAGAAACTATCAACTCCAAGAAAGGAAAACACTCTTCAAATGTTGCATATTAGCACAAAATTGAAATTCCCACTGTTTGAATAAGAAAATGTTTGACAGCATGTGTTCATTTATCAGCCAGCATAAATAAATGCACGCCAACAAAAGTAAATTATATAATATGGAGAAGATAATCTTCACCTTTGGCGAATTTGATTGCACGGGTGAGCATATAGATCCATCATTTCTTGCAACTTGGCCATCTTTTGCACTTAAGTTACCCCTTGGTAATCCTCCAAATCCATAGTTAGGCGAACTTCCAAGGTTTCCTTGTGCTTGAGCTTGTGCTAGGACCTGCTGCTGTTGTGATGCTAAAAGAAACTGATTTTGGCTCTGTAAATTGGACTTCTGCACTTGCAAGCCCAAACCTGGCCGTAATTGGTCTATGCCCTATATGATATGGTAAGCATCAGATGCCAAGAATTCATCCATATAATGTTGCCCAAAGAGCGTGCCAGGATCAAAGCATAAGAAACTCACAGTTAAAGGCCAACCCTTCAGCGGAAGACCAGTGACTCCTTGATTCAACACTGGGAATAGGAAAATTTGTATTTTGACAACTCTCAATACATTACATGCAACAGTAATCTAATCTGACAAAGTTGTTCACTGATTCAAAAAGGAAACTAACGTTTTGACACAATTCTACATATTTCAATCCTGAGAATGAGATCTTTGAGGAAATTTCGCAAACTGAGTAAAACAACATCAGAACGGATGAATTCCAGCTCACCAGTGAATATGTTGATCAGAAGATAGTGCAATGACATGCAAAACTACATTGGTATATGTTGCATCTTGCAGAGCTGAGTATAACGTTCCAAGTTGTCGGACATCAAATCATTCTACATGGTTAACATGCTTTGGACATTATTTGTGCAATTTGCAACAGGAGAGTTGATTCTCCACATTGTGAAATTACTCATCAGTTTAAACAGGAGAGTATCTTTTGACTTTTTCTTTCCCTATCAGGAAAGCTTAAACACAATTTTTCGATGCTTTTCAATTCATGTCATATTTGGAGAATGTGCTTTTAAGAAATTCTGCAGAGTACAATATTTGGCTTATTCTAGGAAGACCAAGAACATTACTTCATCCTACGTGCCTTAAATGAGCAAACTATACATGCCAATAGAATCGAATCCATCAATCATCCAAAATTATTCAGCTTTCCTTCTAGTCTTTCTCAGGCAGCAAAGTTGGCAAGAATTTTTCTGTGCACATTTGATTTCATATTCTTCACTTACGCCTCTCAAACCAACAATAGCAAATATGACACAGCCAAAATTGAATTTGAAATGATAAATACCCGTTGGATCCAACATTCTGGGGACTTGATTGAAAACAAATTAGAATTGCAAAAAATAATAATAATAATAATAATAATAATAATAATAAATAAATAAATAATTGAGATCCAAGAAAATGAATAGTATATAGTGTAGTTTCTAAAGCAAAGATTAGTAAGTACAATTTCAAATCTTCTCTAAGGGTGTGTTTGATTGGTGAAAATTTTCCCTAGAAAATGGAAAATTAATTCCAACTTCCACTTTTGCATTGTTTAATAGCATTTTTTTTTCCTAGAATTCCTTTTCCAAGTTTCTTGCCACATAAGCTATTTTCTAGATTTTCCTTGAATTGGAATTCTCACCAATTTTAACTCCAACCACTCTAGCGTTTTTTTTTTTTACATACACTTCGATGAACTATACCCAAGAGTTACTTAAAATAGAAATTAGATTTTATGCATTATAGTTTTACACGTACATGTTATGCAAATTATTATCAATTGTGCATCTCTTCAATGTCCACACCCCCAATTTTGGAGTTATTTTAGTCAAAGCTCATCTCATGAATATTTCATTGGCAAGAGTGGCAATTGAAATCTATATCAAGTCGAAATTAGTGATTTTGAGAAATTACCTGCCCCACCAAGTCCAGATTTTGACTGAAGAATTGCCTGCCCATAAATAGAGGAGGGATCCATAGGCAAGGATTTTTGAGTTGCCCCCAAATTAACTTCCTGTTTAATGTCCTGGATATTCGAAAGCAAAAAGGACCTGAGCTTGGGAATATTTATAAATATGTTTGCACGCATATGTATGAGTGCAGAGGGGTGAGCGGGGTACAAATGGTTTCAGTGCCTATATAATTATGATTTTCGTAGTTACATTGACCAGTTGAGGCCGTCCTTGCATTTGCTGCAATGCTGCAGGCATGCTCCCAGAATTGCCATGTACCGATTGGCTGAATCAACCAGAAGAAAAAATTATTGTCTATCTGGTCAATGCAAATTGTGCCTCAACTACTTAAATGTACAGTAGTAGAGAGCATTTTATCAGTCTCACCCTTGGTTATTGGTTGCTGACTTGAAAAGTGCCATCCTATTAGCATCAATACTTGGAGAAGTTTCTGAATCCATAGAGTGTGGGTGCTTCATACTTTCTTCATACATTTTCATAGCCAATGCACTGGCAGATGGTTGTCCTATCATCCCTTCAGAATTCATTGAATTAATGGGACCACCAATGGGAGGATGATTAGGATCCCTTTGTTGTAACTGGGCACTGCGCTGCTGCATGAGTTGCAAGTGCTGCATTTGAAGCTGCTGTTGGTGCTCCCTTGCTTTCATTTGTTGGGTCTAATGGATGTCAACATGAATCAGAACAAGTTACAGTTCAAACACAATCCATGCATAAAGATGGCATTTTGAAGAATATGTCAATTGATGAGTAACACTAGCAAGAAAAGCAATAACTTTAGAAACCTCAATGTAGGCTGCAGCTGCCTCAGAATGTTTCTCATTTGTCCGTGCAATGAAGATGTCCCAAAAGACAGACCACCATTCAAAGAGAAATCCTCCCGGTGCATCAATAGCTACAGATAGAATCCATACAATAAATACATCCTCTAGAGCATCTCGTTAAAAGTTTCTCACATCATTCAACATCACACTTAACCTACCAGCAAACTTGAAGAATCACTTACCTACAGGGTCTGTAGCAACCTTCCCTTCCGTCATGAAAGCTTTTGCAGAATTGTGCAAGTTTCTTTTCAACAAATAATCGTGAATGTAAACATCAAGCCTGCAAAAAATGTAGATGAATCTCAATCAACAACACATTTGCCTTGTACATGGATACTTATACAATCAATACTGGAAATCTCTGCGCACTGTCAGGAAAATGTCGGGATAGCAAAGGAATTGAGTTTTTAAAGAAAATCCACCAACTTCTTTCTTTCTACTTATAAGTTTCACATAAATGATGCTCAGCTATAGTTAGACCATTATTATTGTTTGGCTTTCATTGATATTATTGAATGTTCTTTTGATTTCTGGATAATGACTCAAACGATTATCCTGGATTCCTTACCTTTTTTCTAAGCGACCCACGAAGTTGAAAAGATAAAAAAGAATAGCGAATTGGCAAAACAAACATCTAAACTAAAACAACCAATCTGATTTATTCATCATAAATTCAACATGAATGTATGGCGCCTGTTAAAATAAATAAAGAAATATATAAACATAGCACAAATACGACAAAAGGTTATATTGGATCTTGGTTTTGGTTTCTTTTCCCAGCAACCAAGCAAAAGTGAAAAATATCAAAAGAAAAATAAAATGACAAACTATATATAGAAATTATTCAGATCAATATGTACATCTTATCTGCTTCCCAATTACTCTGTGCCATGATATACTACTTTAAACGCTCACTCCACACAGTTCGTACAATCAATCACGCGTGCTTCCACTGAGAACAAAGTCCTATCACAAAAATAAATAAAATAAAATGGCGAATTGATCAGAACAATTTTAAAAAATCTAAAACCCTAATTCAAAAGATTATTGTCATATATAGACTTACCTGTCAGTGAGATCAAATCGTGCATTGATTATATCTTCCCGTAAAAAAACCCTAATTTAAACTAAATTGAAAGCAAAAACGCGAAAATTAGCAAAAGGTGCTCGTATTCTTCAATTTCAATTAACGTCTCTTAATTTAAAGATTTTAAAACACCACTAACATGCATAAAACTGAATATAACTATTTGTGCGTGCGCATACAGAGATTGCTATCGAGAATTTGTTCGGAAAACGAATCGAAAAACTTTCCAAGAGAGAGAAAAAAAAAATGTTCAACCAGTGAAGCACTTCAACACTTGAGGGTAGAATGAGATGCCAGAGCTGAGTAATTAGCTGGCAAAGTGGATCTGAGCCTCAGGTTTGGAAGGGGAGCCAAATAAGGGATTATGCATGACGCCAGCCTCGGGATGAGGTTCGGGAGCGGCCCTGGTGGTGATTTATTAAATTATCGAACAGTTTTTACATAAACGAAGTTGCGTTAGAAATACTGCAGTGTAACCCGATGGTGGAGGCTGACGTGGCGCAATGCATTGATGGTAAAAAAGTTCGAAGGGTCACTTTCGAAGAAAATGGTCAAACACATTTGGTAGTAATTTTTCATCCAAAAAAATTAATTTTTTAATCATTCTTTCAGCCCTTAGTTTTTACTTATTCACTTGCAAGTAGAATCTATTTTTCTCTTTAACGATCAAAAATCAATCCTCATAATCACTACAAAACAGATTATAAATTTCAACTACTCCTGGTTAACTAAAGTCGTCTTCCGAAAATGAAGATTTCATTCAGCTCTTGTTTGAGCCCAATTCTTTTTATAATAATGAATTTTTGAATAGTATTTTGATGAGAAATGTGGGGTTAAAAATAAATAAAAATTTTAAATTTGCGTGTAATATTATTTAATTGAAAAATGTGTAATTGAGATGATGTCAAAATACTGTTTAAATATGTATTTTTTTTTTCCAATAATGAGAATCAAACAGGGACCAAAAATGATGACAATTAAGCAACTGCAGAAACAATAATAAATGTAAGTTTGCCTCGTAAGTCCCTGATGTTTTGATAAATCACTACAATATATAAAAGATGAAAGTTGTAACACTATTCATAAAACATCATGCTGACGTCATTTTTATACCAATTTTACCCTTTTTTTTCTCAACCACGACATCTTTTCCTGAACACTCTTTCTCCATTTCTTCAAACAATACTCTACTCTTTACACAACATATTTTACAGGTCATCTCCTTCCTTCTTCTCTCTTTTCTATTTTTTGTTCAATTTTGTCTTTCTTTTCTATTTCTTGTTATGGTTTCATGCATTAAGGAAGGCTCGACTCCGATTTTTTACCCGAGTCCAAACCCTAAGTCTCTTCAACACCCATTCCAGGATCGTCTTTCTCAGAGTAAGTTCGAATTTTTATTTTTTTATAGTTTTTATCAACAATTAATTTAAATATAATTTCAGTTGACTGATTACTTAGGTTCAATTTAATTTTACATCTCATGTTGTTGATTTCCCATGGTTTCTTCCCACGATTGGGATATTTTTAGTCCAAAATTGCCAATGTTCAGTCGCTTGACCGAGAAATTAGGTGTCCTTCATTTCCTCTTCTTTACACTTTATTTTTAAGTAGTCATTCATATATTCGTGTATATCTATGGTTGTACTTCCATTTTAAGAATTTTTGAAATTAATGATTGATTGTATTCTTAATAAATTTTTAGCCTTATTGTGGAGATCATTTATTAGATTATTGAACTAGACGCGTCACTTAAAGATTTGTATATTGGGTTTCTTCAAAGGTAAAGGACACCAAGACACAATATCAATTACATACAATTTTGCACTAATTGAATTTGTTGAAGTAATAGGTTCATTTATACATTTTCTTGTTCCTCACAATACATTAAGGGTGTGTTTGATTACATTTATTTTTCATGAAAAATATCAATTTTTCACCCAAATTCCTACTTGAAGTGTTTAATTGCTATTTTTTTCCATGAAAAATATTTTTCAACTTTTGAAAATATGTCTAATTTTCCTTGTTTTTAAGGAAAATATTTTCCTTGGATAGAGGTGGTTTTTATTTTCCAAAAAAGATGAAAAACATTTTCTTTTCTAGGTAATATTTTCCATGCCAATCAAACACACTCTAATATAGAATTAGGTGAGACACGGGCTAATTATATCAAGCGTCTATCTTTATGTTTGTATGCCCCTTGGTCTATTTATTTTGGAAATCATGCTGTCAATTTAACTGTATGAAATAATAAATTTTCTAATTTAATATAAATTTAATAAATACTAATTTCTGATATTCACTCACTAAGTACAAGCTACAAGCTAGACTACCTGATAAACATTTTCAATCTCCTCGTCACCACCTGAAATACGATATTAATAACCAATTTAACCACCATCAAATCAAGAAACGTTTAATATCTAATGTTATAATACATAAACTAAATTTCTCGATACTTGAAATAATTTTCAGCATTTTCGTAAACTAAAAGTTTCTCTTCTTCAATGAAATAGAGACTTTAGAAAAATGTGTTCTTATGGCATTAATGCGACATCTTCATTGAAACATTTGTCTATGGATAATGAAAATGAGAAGTCTGAAGTTATGGCAAATTCCATGAACCGTAATTTTGTAGTATCTATCAGTTGTTTGTGACAGAAAGGAGTCATCTGCCAAGAGGCATCATTATTATTTTTCAAGTTACACAATATTAAAAATTGTGGCAGTCTACTTATTAGAAAGAAAGGTTTAGCAGCCGTCAACGGGGTCTGGAAAACCATGGTAATAATTTTTTAGAATTGAATTGTAATATGATTTCTTTCAGATTTATTTTTGGACTTTCTGATATGTTGAACTTAAATTTTTCACATTTAAGGTATGATAATAAACAAAAGTTCATCTTTTTTGCAAAAGAATGTTAAGTAGCCCATTGAATGGCCTTAGGGAGGTTATCCCGGACCTCAGGTATAACATTATAATGTACAAAATATTAGCCTTTTATTGCCTTTTATATTGGTAAAAAATTCTAATTTCAAGTCCTTCATTTATGCATTATAATAATATCAGGACTTACGTATTTAATTGAGGAAGAAGCAATTTGTATTCCATCGTTGCTCAATTGTGCTTATCCCATACCTAACATGCCGCATGTTGGAGATAAGCTCTTTTACTTTCCTCAAAGTCACGAGTATAGACGTGCCACATAAGGTATGAAGTGAAATTCAATCGCCTCTCTGCATAGTCGATGAAGTCAAAATTAAATGAGAACATAGTCGTTCAAAAGTGTGCATATGATTACATATATGGCATAAAAGATTAAATAGTTTTATATGAACTTCTTTTAATAAGCTGTTAAGTGATATTTTGGATTAGCATCGTGATAATTATATTTATGCGAAGTTATGACATTGAGTTTGCTCAAAATGTATATTATTGGTTGATTCTTTGTCAAAAGTATACTTGTTGCACTTTACCTGAAGTAGATTTTTGAGGCAATGACAGTTGGAATTTGGTAACAAAGACCAGACTTTGTGAAGCTTTAGATATGATACACACCAATATACTTGAATTACACAACACCATATAGGCAGATGCTGAGTTAGATTCCATGAATTGATGTGGAGTTACAAACAAGTAGGTGAAGCACTATTGTGGACTTTTAGAAAATATGGTAACAGAATTTTCTGAAGAGGATTATGTCAGAAAACCTAATTGAAAAAAGAAAGTTAAAAATTATTTTCTTTTAGGTAGACTTTTCTCATCACATAAATATTTTATTTTTTTCCCCACTTTACTTATTTGTCCTATTTTTGTTGATGAATTATTTGCACTCTTTTAGCTTACTTATTCTGATCGAAGAAAAAGTAAAAACCAAGCATTCTTATAATGGTTATGCCTTGAAATATCTTTTCAAAATTATGATGCATTTAATTCAAAGACTAGCAGCTTTTGGTGTATTATGGCTTAATCTTTTGATCATTCATACAATTTTCTTTATCTAAAATGTTGTATTGTTAGCTAATCAATAAGCTCATTTGGTTTTCATTATGAATCAATCTACGTTTGATTGGACTATTGTCTCTAACGTAAATGAGACTGCTGCATTTGTGTTTTTCCAAAAAATTGTGTGTATGTTGGGTCAACTAAGGCACTGATGTGGTTGGGTCAAAATTGTGGCTTTTGTTTGCAGATTCAAACTAAGAGTTGCATATTTTCAGACAGTTGGATAGGTTCTTAAAGTTGCTTTTCTCATAGGTACATAAAAATGTCTTTGCTTAGCCAAATGAAATCTTTTTGTAGAACATTATCTTGAATGTTTGAACTACAGGTATTGTTTCGATGAATAAATCATTTCAAATAAGTAGAGTTCAATTCCTAGTAGGGAAATGTATTATTACACGAGTAACAAAGTATTGCTTCTGTGTTCTGTAGTTATTTATACCTTGAAATGGTAGCTTTCTCGGGAAGGGAAAAAACTGGGGTATATTTCATTTTTGCGTTGGAAATATTATTGCCATTAACCTTAAAAGGTGAGATGAGAAGTCCTAAAATGGTAAGATTATTAGAGAAGATTTTTCTTTTTGTTAACTTGTCTTGGAGTTTGACAAACTTAATACGTTAACAAGACATAAATACGATTTCTTGTAACAATTCAAACTATGAAGTAACACAAGGTTGGTTTATTTTGCACTTGGTTTCATCTTTGTTGAAGTTGTCGTTAGAGAAACTTCAATAAGAACCAACGGATAGAGCTTTTCAGTCTATCTTCAATTTGTTTTATTTTATATAACTCTTTTCCTAAACAATAAGTATCATACACGTTTTTACACCCTTCCCATAATTTGTTGTTCTATTGCCACCTTGTGACTTTGTAAATGTATTCTGTAAACTTGAAAAGAATCTTCATTTTGTGTACATGCACATTTTGTATTTAGTAATTTATTAGAATGTAAGAAATGGACATAAGTTCACAATTTCATATTTTTGCTCATTAAGTCGAGAATGAAAGTATGTTGACCAAGTTTGTGCATATTCCAATTTGTCTCTAATTTGAATGGATGGGCACGTTCATGTGGTATTACTTGCATAATATCAAACGTGTTTTGATACGATTCATCTAATGTATGCATCTTGTTGATTATAGTTTAAAAAAACTTATTTGCCTTGTCGTGAGTATAAGACTTCAAGATGTTGTCATTTGGCAGTGTCTATTAATAATTAAGACTTTGTGCTTCTTATAAAAGTACATTTATGCAAGGAACATATTAAGCGGTGGTGGAAGTACACCACTTTCACATGCTATCGTTGCAGACTGGGTTAACATGGTGAATGTATTCTAGAGGAAGTCTCTATCTACATGTCTAGGGATTCCTATGATTTGTGGGTTTAATGTCTATAATTGCACCATATTCCCACATAATATTGGGCTTGGGGGCCACTAGGCAAGTAATGTCACACCCACTATGTAATATTTCTAGGTACAGCATTCCTTCTATTTGGCACAGAATTTTTATTTGTGTTCAAAAATTTTAATTAGCAAACTCTTATATCATGCTTAAGTCTTATCGTCTAATATAAGTTGAATCAATATTTATGGAGGCTCTTCCAAGCAACAATATGAGCTAAGAGTGCAAATTATTCCAAATATAGATAAATAAAAACCAGTTGAATCTTTATCTATCTTGTATCATAGAATCTTTAGCATCCATATCATTTTTTATTTTTTTGTTTCTTTTTGTAAAGATCATAATGTCACAACGAGATCACATTTTGATGTTCAACTCACGAGAGTATCAAAATGTTGTTACTAATAATTTGACTTTTTTTAAATCAATAATGGTAATCAAAATGTTGGATATTAATTTCGCGATTCTCTTTGTTTAGGGAAAGGCTGAAATCTTAAGTATAAAACCACACACTTTTGATTTATTATCTGGCTATTTGTTTATGAGTGAAATGTTGATTTTGTTTGTTAGTGCATGACTAACTATTGCTATAGTATTTACTTCCAAGTGGTCTTACATAGACAGTGGTGTACTTACAGGCTAATTGCGATGGTAGTGATAATTTTTAAACATTCAACTTGGAGGTTTTAAAGTGGGTTAAGAAACTAGAAGTAAGTTTGTTGAGCTTCTAATTGTGGCTATGTGTTGATGACAAATGATTCTATTTCTTGATGTTGCATGTTGAAAATTAATCTAGAAGAATACCGAAAGTGATGAATATTTTGGGAAAGATGTGAGAAAACCTTTTGTCGTCGCCAATGATAGTTCAATAATGTAAATCGAAGCGACCATCAGTGCATTCCAACATCGATGCCTGCAACCACTCGTCTAACCAAGATGAATGGAATGACGGTACAAGCCCCCATTAGCAGTACACCCAATGAAAATTATTGTTGGTGGCTGGAAGAAGACTTCGTTGAAGTGGATATATTCTCCATATTTGATAAATCCGGGTATCGATTTCTAATAATACGACGTGGTGTAAAGGTGGGATGGGATTATGGTGACCAATTGAAGGTGAAGTTGTATTCGGGAGGTTATTCCAATGTTAGAGGTGGTGGGAAGTGGTTGCTGGTGACGACGGCTAGCCAGCCATCGTAGTATCATCGTGGAGGGTGAGGTGGAGAGGGATGAAATCAACGGTGATATTGAAATTATCCTTATTTAGTTTTCGTTAATATAAATTTATTAATATATTTTTATTTTTACTAAAATATTAATTAACACCTAATTTTTGAAAAGATAAGTTTAAAATTTGATTTTTGAAATGTATAGTTAAAATATCGGATATGCTTAATTTTCCCTACATTTAGCCCTACTTTGGGCTCAATTTTTCAAAATGAATTTTACAATTACATATTTTCCCATAAACTAATATTACACATGAATTCTAAAAAAAAAAAATCTTATTTTTTAATCACACCTTCTTCAAAAAAAAAAAAAAAAAAAAATTCCCTATTCCAAAATATTTTTTTCTTGAAACTCTCATTAAAATGGAACCAAAAGAGGGTCTTATTCAATCAAGAGGTTTTTAATCTAATTATCAATTTTTTTAGCTCATTTCAAAAGCTTACTTATAAGCCCCTTTTTGATATAAGAATTAAAATCTAATTTTTTTTTTTTTTTTATCAAAATCAAAGTCAACAAATTCCTATCCCCTTATACAGTTTTTTTACTTCATGATTAATGGGCCATTGGCCAAATTTGATTTTAAAGAGATTCATAGACTTTCTTTATTCGAATTTAAAATTTTCAGCTACATTAATTTGTACATGAAATAAAGTATATAGTAAGACATAAATAACAGGAAAGAGTGGGACAGAGCGGGGAAGGTCTTTAATATGATATTTTTCCTTCACATTCATTAGTGAAGAAAGTAATATTTTCTTTTGTGTATTTTACACTACTGCACAAAAGTTAATTGACGAACTGACCAGTGCTCATTTGCGAAAATAAACAAAATATTCGTTCAAGTAAGGAAGAAAAATAGAGTTAAATAAAGTAAAACTATATACATAGACGTGTATAAAGTTGATTGTTAAAATGCCAACAAAAATTCAATTTACAGAGTTATGATTATTTATGTATATTAGTTTTACTCATGAACTTTTAAATATCATATTGTGTTATTTTACATCAAATGCTACACTTGAATTTGCTGATAACATGGTTGCCGACGACGTACCTTTGTTGATAGCCTGGGTTTCTGTAAATTGCTTTATTACAACTTTGGAGGAAATTTTCAAAGGTTCTAATTAGACAAGCAACATGTGGAACGTTCTTTTAGTCATGTATTATATAAGGATGATTGTGAAATCAAATAGAGGATCATGTTTTTCCCGATGAATGGTTGTTTTAGATATATAAGTTTTCTTATCAATAAGGATGAGGAGTTGGCGAGATGTAATGCATAGTATTAGAGTGAAATGGAAAACACTATTATGAATTTGTGTTACTAGAAGATATTGATCAAGTTAAAAGTCAATTTATACTGAATGGTTTATTATAAATGCTTTGTTTTTTGATAATGACTGCAACGGTTACGAGAAGACAAAATGTTGATGAAAGGATGCTATGACAAATGTTTAAATATGCCATGTGTTTTTCATAGGTCGAATTATGGTTTTGTGCCTAAGATCATGGTTTAGTCTAACAAACACTTGTGAGATGTTTCCAAGCTGTATAAATGGCAAGGTGGTTTATGATTTAACATCGGTAGGTGATAAAATCCAAATATTCTTTATTGCTTTTTAGTTGTGATTCAGTGTTCTTTTTTCCCCAACACTTTTCTTGTGTAAAAGCACTGAACACGTTGCACTGTAATTGTGGTCTTTGTCTTACAATTTTGTGTTCATGAGTCATGTTTAGAACATCTCACTTTTGCATTAACTTTTGGTTGTTAGATGTATTTATATTTTTTTGGCAAAAGCTCGTAGCCATGTATCTGTCTATTTTCTCCATTCTCCATTGAGAAATTTATGTAGTCGAAGTTTATAATTTATTAATTCCATATTTTGGTCATATTATGCATACTATTAATGAGTAAGGACGTTCAAGTTTCTATTTGATACCCCATTTTGTTGATAGATAAGTTGGAATATTATGTATAATGCATTAGTAGCATATATCCATGCACAATAGTATTTACGAGACAATCTAAAACAGAGGTTTTAAGAACAAAAATATAAAAAGTTCTATGTTATCCAAATGAATAACTCAAGGTCAGTTACTTTAGCTCGTGCTCCAAAGTTTGCACCCGCAACATCACGCTACACACAATCCGGAGTGGTTCAATAGCTAGCAGGCTAAAAAAGAAAAAGAAATATACTTAGATTTCCACAAATATTTGGACTTGAATATATGATTTCTTTTAGAGAAAATAATTTTAATATAAAATTGATGGGTTGAGGGCTAACAATGTCAATGACTTAAGATGAGAACCAATTTGTTACAATTCTCATAAGTTGAGGATCTCAACGTAATATTCTCTTTATTTATCGTGTTTCGGATCATACTTTGCAAAACAAATACACCCCTTATGATAACTGACAGAATGTGGGGGTCTATATAGCAATATTTATTGGGTAGTACTCCTTTTCGAATATTGACAGAACGTGGGGGATTTCATTGCAATTATTGCAGTTCAAGTTGTAATAAAAAGTGCATTCCGCCCTCGTATATTCATAGTACACGTGGCGATAAATAAGTGGTCAGCACATTCTAGAAGGTCAAAACAGAGGCCTCTCGGTCAATGTAGAAGATCTTGGTACCTTCTCTTTTCCAATATAAATGGACGCGTCCCCCGATTTCATGTTCCGTTTTAGCATCTGCGTTCACGTTAACACTCGCTTAATTATTAAGCTGTCTTGAGGTATGATCCAGTATTTATAATCCGGGTTTTTTTTCCCAATGTTTTGTGATATTTCTTTTTTCTATTTTTGTAATTTTTAGTTCGGATTTTAGATTAAGGGTAACCGATTTCTACATCTGACAGATCGGGGACTTTTTTCTTCCTCAATTAGCGTGAAAATAATTGCCGTAATGAAGAAACTATCGATTTGAAGTTCTTTTTTTCTTTCTCCTATGATGGTTTTAAAATTCTAAATTAGAGGTTGAGTAATGTAGCATATTGAGAATTAATGTGTTTATAACGAGAAAGAAATCATGGAGGATTGAGGATGGTTATTTATGTGAACTTGAGGTTATTGATAAATATGGATTTTCTCGTCTTTCGAAATTGTTTGATGTTTGTACCGTGCTGCAATGAAGTGATCAATTTTTTATTTGCTTGGATGCACAATTATAGAATTTCAGCCCCTCTATTGACCTATGATGTGTAATAATGGAAGACTACTTACAATTTTTTTTTAATTTTTAATTTTTAATTTTTATATCTGGATATATTTGATGTGTGCGTTGTTAGTAGCTGAAATTGGATGGGAATAAAAGATTATAAGCACGAAGACACTGAATTAGGATTTACTGTAGCTGGAGCGGTGAATAAAATTCTACATTCTGCTATAAATCCATAAATGAGCTCTGGTGAAATATAGGTCTTTGGGAAAGTTAAAGAGATACATACATATCATCCTTTTTTGTGGTGGTTGTTTTCTTCATCTTTTCTTGAATTAAGATTGAACACTGTCTTGGAAGAATTTTATTTTGTGCACGTAAACAACACTTTTGTTAATCCTCTATTGACCTAAGATGTGTAATAATGGAAAACTGCTTACATTTTTTTTGGATGATTGTTTGTGTGGATATATTTGATGTGTGCGTTGTTAGTAGCTAAAATTGGATGGGAATCAAAGAGCATAAGCACGAAGACACTGAATTAGGATTTATAGTAGCTGGAGCAGTGAATAAACTTCTACATTATGCTATAAATTAATAAATGAGCTCTGGTGAAATATGTCTTTAGGAACGTTAGAGAGATACATATCATCCTTTTTTGTGGTTATCGTTTACTTCACTTTTTCTTGAATTAAGATTGAACATTTTCTTGGAAGAATTTTATTATGTGCACGTAAACGACACTTTTGTTATTCTAAATGTGCAATTATCACTTATAAGACATTATATGCAAGAGGGTAAGTATTTTTTATTCAAAATTCAAATTTTGCTTTTTTGGTGCTATATCTAAGCACTCATGGAACACATTATGGACCAGCATTTTGGTTGTGATCTGGTATTCCCAATATTTATTTTGGAATGCAGGATTGATCTTGAAATATTTTATTGGCTATTATTGTTGATTTTATCTTGCAAGTGGACAGATCGTAACAAGTAATATTGGATCTAAGAGTTTGGATTGTTGGTCCTATAAGAATTATTTTCTAACACTTAATTCAATTTTCCTTTAACTACTATTTGATGAAAACAAATTAAAAATTATAATGATTTGAGTTTAAATCTTAATTCTGGACAATAAATAAATGCTCACACTAAAAACTTGTAAGATCAAATAATTAGAGGATGTTAGGGTAGAATAATTTCACCTCTTGATCACCTTTACATCTCAAATTAAGACTCAATTCTAATGTAGTATTTGATCGAATTTTTCTATTGTATCCAATTTATCCTCTCGAGTTCTCATTAAGCCTATTCAACTAATTAAATTTCATATCTTTATGTAAATTTAAATTATTTAAACGAGTCATTTATCCTATTCTACTCGTTATACCACTATACTGAATTTTATTACATGGTCTAATTCCTAAACTCATATCTCTATTTGTAAAGGATTCATGAAATTCATGAAATTATTGATCAGATAATTTAATGCAATCAATTCATAGTAAAAATCAACATATAGAAAAATTAAAAATCAAGAATCTTAATAATGAAACATAAAGGATCCCAAATGGATTACATTATTCTCCTTAACAATGGATTTAGCCACGCATAATAAAAGAAGAGCAACAACAAATTGTCTTAGAGTACATCACCGAATTTAGAATTTAATATGTAGAAGAAAAAGTGGATCTTGCACCAAGAATTCCTCCTTCTAATTTATGCTTCACACGATGAATTTGGCGTTGTCTTTCTCCCATCGAGTCTCTCTCCCCTTCTCTCAAAAAGTGTTTTTGCCTCTAGAATCTGTAGAACCCCTCAAAGCCTTAGGAAAAAACTTATTTATAGGTCCCTTGCCGTGTAGGAATAATAGGTTTCTCGCATGGACTCCGAGAATTTGCGCCCTAGCTATCCTGTGCGCGATGTCTAGGATGTGGAGCCGCAGCGCCACCCTTTTGTGTCTCGTTGCGGCGGCGCCCTAAATTTGGCGCCGCGGTGCCGAGACTTGGGCAGGCAGGGTGTCGCGGTGCAGATACTCGGGCAAGTGGCAGGGTGCCGTAGCGCCCTGAATGTGGCGCCGCGACGCCAACACTCTGGTTTTTCTTGATTTCTTGCGTTTTGGTGCCATCCGTCCCAACTTAGCTTTGTCTATTTTGCCCCTGTTTCGCGACTTCTTTTCCGTCCATGCCACTAACTTCAATTTAATAATCTTTCTTCGTATTCTTCGCCATCTCGACACTCGTATAAAACAACGTTAATACACACATTAAAAACGTTCTATACTCGTGAATTCTAGCTTAAAATCAAGTTAAAATTTGCCTAAATTCGTGAGTAAAACACACTCGTCAGTTATTATAATAGAATTTTGTAACTTGTGAAATGTATGTGTGCTTCATCTTGTGTGTTTATTTTTTAAGTTCTATTCTTCCATGACTCCAATTCTCCAAATTGGGAACTGAGTTGTAATTTGTGTAATTATTGTCTGATGAAGTCGTGACTTGTTGATTGTGTCTGCAGTTCATTCTTTCTTTTGGATAATAATTCCACTGAACTGTTGAAGATGGCAGAGGTATGTTTCTGATTTGTGTTCCTTTAAGCTATTTAAATTATGCTTTACTTACTAAATAAGTTATTTAGTGGAAGCGTTTCATCATTTGCATTATTGCATTTTCTTCCAGTAGTTGCATATATAGGCTATATACGAGTTAACCAATCTTTTGTTATGGTAGGAGGGACACAAAGTCACTTTGAACGTGTATGACTTGAGCCAAGGTCTAGCTCGCCAACTGTCAACCACATTTCTGGGAAAAGCTATTGAAGCCATATGGTAAGTGTTATATTTCTTTAAGGTTAATATATCTGAACACGAGTTGCCCACATAAAAGCATGTATGTACCGCTGACTATCCTCGTTAACAAATATAATGTATTAGTGATCTCTGTGCACAATTGTTTCAAAATGAAACAACGTTCACTTCTATATGGCAGATGTCTGCTGTGATTATTGGTTGGTATATCTACTAGAACAACCTACGAATTTGATTTCTTCAATTTCTTGCTTTAGGCGGTTGTTATTTTATCCTGTTTTCAGTTGATAAGAAGCCGGACTTTTTATATCAGTAATGCAAACCTCCTGTGTTGGAAATTTATCATCACATTATATTTTGCCGGGGAAATACGTTAAGGTCTTTAGTGTTTTTTTTTTTTTTTTT